AATTCTGTGACAAGCAAGGGAAAAGAACCTAAATCCAAGCTAGTTCGTTGGTCGGCTCATGTAGCGGTTCGTTCTGTACCCAGGACAGCTTGTAAGCCCTTCTCAGGTAAGGTGCTTAATCTTTCAGGCGATGATGATGATTTCCAGGGGCCTAGTGCCCAATTTTATACCGATGGATCGTTGGTGGCAGCTAATGAGGGCTGCTCTTCTTTCTCCGTGATAATTTTATCCTGAAATGTTAGGGGACTTGGTAGTGCTAAACGTAAGCAGAGACTAAAACTTTTAGTTAATAAGTTTAGACCTGATATTATTTTATTACAAGAAACTAAAATACTCGGCTACTATTAATACTGATAGGGAATTTTTGGGTTTGAAACCTGTTATGTTTTGTGGGGTGGATGCTGTGGGTTTTTCTAGTTGCCTTTGGGCAATTTGGGACCCATCAGTAGTGTTTTGTTCTCAAACTATCATCAATGATCGATTTTTAAAAATGGTTTTTTAGGGTCATTTTTCTCATTTTCGATGGTTACTTATGAATGTATACGGGCCTAATATTCATGATTTTAAACATGTGTTCCTTAATGATTTAACTTCTTGTTTGAGGGATGTTGGCTTGCCTGTTTGCTTGGGGTTAGATTTCAATTTCATCCACAATTCTGATGAAACTTCTTCAAATGTGTCTATTAATGGTGGGATGAGATTATTCAATGATTTTGTCATGACAATTGGGCTGATGGAGCTACCGTTGTCTGGTGTTCAGTATATCTGGTATAATAATAGTCTGGTTAATTTGGTTATGAGCAAATTAGACAGGTTTTTAGTCTCGACAGATTGGGAAAGCCAATTTCCCTTGGCTTCGGTTTCTTCGTTGGCGAAATTATCCTAAGACCATATACCATTATGCTTACAATCTGGCAAAGAAGTTATGGGGCTTAGACCTTTTCGTATGAATGCTGATTGGCTACTTGAATCAAACGTTGTTGATTTGGTAAAGCATACTTGGTTAAATACGACTGTGATAGGACATCATGGTTATAGATTGCACAAAAACTGTTGACAGTTAAACACCGTCTAATTGATTGGAAGCAAGCGAATAGGTTCTATTTGAAAATGAAATTAGATAGTGTTATGTCACAGTTACAGTCACTAGAGGAGGATACTCAATTGTTGGAAGTTCTTTCGGTAGAGGTTGCAGCTACTAAGAATCGGCTGGAAGCTGAGTTGCATGACTTGTTAAGACATGAGGAAATTTATTGGAGACAAAAATCTAGAGTAAAATGGCTAAAAGAAGGTAATTTAAATACTGCTTTCTTTCATGCAGTTGCAAACTCTAGCATGCGCATTAATGATATCTCTGGAATTTCTTTTGGTAACTTAATTGAGGAGGATGGTGAGGTTTGGGATAATGAGTTTGTTAGACATTTTGAGATGGCCTTTACTAGCGAATGCATTATGGGTGGCCCATAAATTGAAAATACCTGTGACTAAGGAGGAAGTAAAACATGTTGTTTTCTCTCTTAATGGGGATAAGGCATCTGGACTAGATGATTTCCCCTTGGTTTTTTCCCATGAGTTCTGGGATTTAGTAGGTGATGAGGTGTTTTATATGGTGGTTGATTTCTTTAATCATAGAGTTAAAGATAAGAGTATTAACTCTACGTTTATTGCTCTAATACCTAAAAAGAATGCGATCACTAGTATTTTTTATCTGAGACCTATTAGCTTGCTAACAAGTCTCTACAAGATTATTGCAAAGTTGTTATCCCTCATATTGAAGAAGGTATTGTCGTTAGTGGTCTCGGGCCCCCAATCAGCTTTTATTAAAGGAAGAATTATCACGGATAGTGTTTTAATTGCTCAAGAATGTCTTCATTCTAGAGTTTTGTGCGCAGAACCAGGTGTGGTGTTGAAATTAGATTTAGAGAAGGCATATGATAGGGTTGAGTGGAATGTTTTATATAAGATTATGCTGAGAATGAAGTTTGGGGTCAGATGGAGAGGGTGGATTAGAGGTTGTTTATCATCGACTCATTTTTCAGTCTTGGTGAATGGAAGCCCAAATGGGTTTTTTAAGGCTTCTAGAGGTTTGAGGCAAGGAGACCCATTGTCACCATTGCTGTTCACTTTGGTGGTGGAGGGTTTTAGCCTAATGCTTAAAAGAATTGAACAGAGAAGTAGGTTCAATGGCTTCAAGGTGGCTGTTGAGGGCCCTATTATCTCTCACCTCCAATATATTGATGACACACTCATATTCTGTGATGCAAATGCGGATCAGGCTCAAGCTATCTCTTTATTCTTACGATGTTATGAGGTTACTATAGGTCTTAAAGTTAATTTTTCAAAAACCATTGTAGTGGGTGTTGGTGTTGAGCCTGCCTTGGTTGATTTGTAAATGGGGTGTGCGGTTGGTAGTCTTCCTTTTAAGTATCTAAGCAGTCTTATTAGAGATAAAAGGTTATCAAGATCGGTATGGGACCCACTTATGAATAGAGTTATCTCTAAGCTGGATTTATGGAAGTCTAAATTTTTATCTCTTGGAGGGCATGTTACTTTGATCATATCAGCTCTATCTAATATGCATGTTTACCTGCTATCCTTGCTTTATATGCCAACCCCTATTATTAAGGAAATTGAGCGGCTCATATGCAATTTTTTATGGGACACTTTTGATGATAACAAAAAATACTATTTGGTGAGCTAGGATAAAGTTTGCATTCCTAAAGCTGAAAGGGGTCTAGGGATCCACAAGATCAAACTTGTTAATTTAGCTCTGTTGTCCAAATGATGGTGGAGGTCTATTAAAGATGGAGATCAATTGTGGAAGGAAGTTTTGGTTGCTAAATATGGTGTGGATAATAGTGGCTTTATTGGTAAGGGAAGAGGAGGAAATTCGCAATCCCAATTGTGGAAAGGTATATACTCTACTACGGAATTGGTAGTGAGAAACTTGAGGTGGGAAGTGGGTAGACGATCTACTATTGATTTTTGGAATCATGTGGATGGGTGATGGTCTGTTGCGATTTAAGTATAAAGAAGTGTTTGATAGGTGTGTAAATCAGCATTTAAAGGTGGAGGAGGCTATAAGGTGGTATGTTGATAGATTAGCTTGGGATATTCGATCGAGCTATAATAAGGTGTCAGATGTTGTTCTTAATCAATTTTGTGATGTGTTGCTGAATCTTGATACGATTTACATATCCAAACATCATGAGGATGAGGTAGTATGGGAGTTAACTACATATGGTATGCTCTAAGTGAAGTCTGTGTATCATCTATTATTTCATGAGCGATTAAGATGGAAACAACCAAAGCTCAAATTCATTTGGAAATGACGTATTCCACATAAGATTCAAATCTTTTTATGGACTCTCTCGCAAAATAAAGTGCTAACAGTTGACAATTTGAAAAAGAGGGGAAAAATAATCGTTAATATTTGCTTCTTGTGTAAAAAAGATAAGGAGACTAGAGATCATTTGTTCATTCATTGCCAGTTTACTTTAGCGTTGTGGATCTGGTCCTTTCCAGTTATTGGTTTTCAAATGCCTTTACCAACACATCATGTTGATCTGACAGATCAACTCTCGATTCCTTTGCCTAAAAAGGGGTTGATGATATGACAGATTTTTAAAGCTTCAATCCTTTGGGAAGTGTGGTTGGAGATAAATAGGAGAATTTTGTAGGGCTTCAGTTGAAAGTTAGATTGTGTGAAAGATAAGATTTTTCAAAATGTCTATTGTAATTTTCTTCTACGAAATAAAGTTTCAAGGTTTCGAATATTAATGTTTGACTGAATGTGAGGAGTTTGTTACACCAACGAAGTTCTAGACCCAGTATTTGATGTCAATAGAACGTACCCTATCGTCGATGTTTTAAGTTGAATTTTGATAACAGTTCTTTGCAACACCCAAGACGTGCTGGTTTTGGGGGTGTGGTTAGAGACTATCAGGGTGTAGAGAATCACTTTTTGTGGCCCGTGCGAGATAACTATAGCAAACCAAGCATAAATATTAGCTATGCTTCAAGGTTTAAAGTTGTTGAAAGATCGTTGTGATCAATTCGTATGGCTGGTGAAAAGGGATTCTCTTAATGTTATCAACTAGATTTCCAAATCAATAAGCCACATTGGAGCTTGAGACGTTTGGGTAGAAAGCTTTGGATATTTGTCGCAATAAAATTGTGGCTTTCAATCATGTTTTTAGGGAAGCAAATGAACGGGCTAACTCGCTTGCCAAGGATGGAGTGTTGGCCCCATCTTTGGTGCTCAATTTCTTATCCTTTTAATTATTGTGTTTATCATATTCACTGTAATCACTGATTTGATTGAGTAATAAAATCATCGCGATCTTGTCAAAAAAAAAAGGCTCTTAAAGCAAAGCCAATGTGGAGGTTACTGTATCATTGAAGGTGACTGTCCAAACGTAATTAATTGGTGTTCCAGACTTAAAGACAGCTGTGGATGTAGATAATACAATGTTTTTGACATGTTTAAAAGGGGGCTAATGATTTGTTGATATAAACTCTTTGTAACTTTTTTATTCACTTTTAATAATATTCAGTAATCTTTTTCAGAAAAAAGACAACAAAAAAACAAAAAGGAGAATAGGAGTTCACGGCTTAAAACAGCTCTAATTAAAAGAAAATAAATTTGAGGCCATCACAAAGATTTTCAATAACTTTGACATTATTCGAAAGTGCACCTTATTTGAGACCTCTCTAATTCGGTGGCTAGTCCTCTCCTCATGACTATGCTCTTGCACGTGTAAAACCGCTAGATAAACTTTCATGGTTGGAGGTTACAGTATCAAATATGGTTTATAAACACAGCCTTGAGGCAACCATATAATGACGTTTTTCTATGTTTTTTATTCAGTAAAAAGAATAAGAGAAATTTATAAAATTACCCCTGAAGAAGAACAATTTTAACACCTTACTCATATCTTTTGATTTAATTTCAAATAAAAAAACATATGATCTTGAATTAGAATAGTTGCAAAAGGGTATAATGTTTGATAGTCCATCCCTTATGACTGTAGGATAAATTTCCCAAAGAATCAAGGGATAGTCTGCCACCCCAAACCATGGTAAACGCGAATACGGGGTTTAGTGGTCTCTTTGGGTGCCACTCCAAAAACCCAAAATAGGCACCGGTACACTCAGAAAGTGCCGTTATTTTGTTCGTGAAATGAAAATAAAAAATGCCGGTTTTCATCCCACTCGCAACATGCCCCATTTTGTTAGAACACTGACCACACATTGATGAAAACCCAAGTTGCATCCAAACTGGAGATAATGGAAGACATAAATACAAATATGAATAAACTTACTGTACATCAAGGGATGGACACTTCATAAATATTTAAGGTGACTGTCCCATCGGAAGCACATACGTTGCTCTCAGATAGTCTACGATTTCTGCACTTTCAAACATTGCTATCCCTGTGTTAGGATCCTCCAGGTAAGGTGCCTGTCAAAATAAATTCATTGAAAAGAATCACAATATCTCTATAACAGCCATAGAGGGGAAGGATCTAACAGGTTAGGATCAGCTTTAAAAGGTCAGGATTTGAATGAAGAGATACATAGCCTAGCAGTGGATGGTGGTCTGATAAAAAGGAAGGTATACATAATCCAATGGAGCTTCAAAGGAGCATGCACTTCTACTCCTGATGATGGATGGTGGAGATTAATTGTCGTGGGCCCACAGGGACATTAGCCACGTAAAGTTGATCTCCACAATCCATCATTGGCAATGTATGGTGGATGGTCTTTGGATTACTATACACCACACTCAATATGACATCAAGTATAAGATGGAGTATTAGTCACAAATTTGTGGAATATCGGTAAACCATGTAAGTGTTTTTTTTTTCCCTGTATTCCCATGAATTCTTCATGTTATTTGTCAAGGTACCTATACTAACTCGACCAAGGTACTTGTCCATTGGTTGCCCGAGTACCTCACTCGAGTCCAGCCCGAGTTAAAAATTAAAAGAAAAACAAAAAACATAGCTTATATAGATTAACACTAACACTCAAATGGTGCACCAGCTGAATGGCATTGGTCCTCCACAAGAGGTTGAGCGATTGACCCATGCTTACTGGATCTTATGTTTTAACCCCCATAATGACACTTCGCTTTCATGAACCCCTTATTTTTTTTAATATCAAAATGTTGGGCGGCATCTAAGGGGCTTCGAGTCTTAGAGTGAGGTCAATAAACCATATGTACTAGCCAAAACCCATTTACAAGGTGTTTCAGTTATAATGAGAATATTTATAATTTTATACAAGTGTACACTGAACTCAGTCTCGCCCATAGGGTGGGTCAGGGTAACTCGCCAAAGTCTGTGTCCACCCGGGCGAGTCACGGAACCGTGTTACTTGTTCATCTTTTAGATATTGATAAACCCATGAAGAAATAAAATAAAAAGAAACAAAAATCCTGATGCTCTAATTACATTCAATTTTCAGCTTGCAATTTATTAAAAAATTTCTTGGCTACCAATTGTAAGCCTTCATGAGAACAAAGCCCACATGCAACGTAAACATAGATAAATGGAGAGTCAAGAAGGGTACCTGAAAATGCCCTGTTTTATAAAAAAGCTTCTGTCTCTTCTGGCTACCACGAGCGGTGCTGCAAAGAAACCACAATTACAAGAATAGAGGAAACAATAATGGTAGGAAAGGAAGCTTCGCTCAAGATCGAGATCGAGTATAAGGAGAAATTATCAAATCACAACCTAACATCTATTTATCAAACAACCAAATCTTTTCAAAAAAAACCAAACAAACAAACAAAAGAAGTTGAAAATCAAGAAATGCTTCTTCCAGATGGTTAATTTTACCATCTAATATTTATCTGCATATAACAAATCACAACCTAACATCTATTTATCAAATCACAACCTAACATCTATTTATCAAACAGCCAAATCTTTTAAAAAAAAACCAAACAAACAAATAAAAGAAGTTGAAAATCAATAAGTGCTTCTTCCAGTTGGTTAATTTTACCACCTAATATTTATCTGCATATCTCCTCTTCGTCTTCTTCTTCTTCTTCTTCTTGGTGGTGGTGGTTTCAGCATGAATTCTTTTACCATTTACCAAAAAAAGGAATCAAGCATTCTCGATGTCAAAGAGAATTTCCCTGTTGATTCAACAGAGAAAGTTCCTAGGTAAACAGATCTACTAGCTTTCATAGGGCATTCTCCATGTGAACTTTCAATTCAGATCCTATATGGCAGCTTCTATGGGGCCCTCAAGAAAATAGATATGCCGAATACATGAGAACCTTCTTGAAAGACAAAATGCCAAGGACACATCATTGAAGGAGCTGGTTACCCAAACTTGGCAAAGTGCTCATGCCTAAGAATGGTGGGGGTATGTATTTGCAGAAAGTTGCAGATGCCTAAGGATTAGAGAAAGCATACCTTTGGGGAACAAGGCTTGAAAATCCCAGACGCATTACTGAAGATAAAGGAACTGGACAATAGGCAACAATTGTAGCAGGGACTTTCAATGGGAGATGCACCCTTGAGAAGAATCCTCAGAGCTAATTATAGGAGCAATTGACGATGGAAGAAATATTTTGGTATCAACGCTTGAGAGCCAAACGGATAAAGGAGGACGATAACAACACAAAATATTTCCTTGCTATTGCAAACTCAAGGAGAACAAATGGCCATTGTCCAACATTTTGAGGATGCATTTATGGGATCAGATAGGTTGACCTTTAGCCTAGATAATGTCCCATTCACTAGACTGGCAAAAGTCTCAGATAAGGGGATTGGAAGGCCCTTTTCTAGAAGATGAGATTAAAGAAGCTGTCTTCTCTTTGCCAGGGATAAAGGCACTGTGACCTGATGGCTTTCCCATGGCCTTCTTTCAAACTTTTTGGGACGTCATCAAGATGGATCTATTGAGGGATTTCCAGAACTTCTATCATAACAGGATTGACCACAAATTCTACTTTCATTGCATTCGTACCAAAGAAGAAAATCATTGAAACACTCTCCCATTAGTCTTCTCAATACCACTCACAAAATCATTGCTAAGGTATTGACGAACAGATTAAGGTTGGTTTTAAAGGACCTCATCGAAGAACCACAGACAGATTTTATAGAAGATAGGCAGATTACGGACAGTGTTCTAATGGCCCAGGATAACCATCCACTCAAGGATTAGGTAAGGACTCCATCAATAATGTCTATAATTGATTTTGAGTACGTCAATGATATGGTAGACTGGAATTATCTCTTGGGCATCAAAAAAATAAGGGGTCAGGAGAGAAACTGTATGTGGATCCATGGTTGCCTCTCTTCAGCTCATTCCTCTATAATGAATGGCAAAGCAGTTGGTTTCTTTAAAGCATCAAGAGGTATTCATCAAGGAGACCCTTTGTCATCTTTCCAGTTCACTATGGTTGCTAAATACTTTTAGCCTTATGGCTACATCGGCGCATGACAATGGTCTTCTTAGCGAAATACCCACTGTCCCAAATGGACTTTTGCCCTCTCATTTTCTGTATGCCCATGACACTCTGCTTTTATATGGTGCCTCTATGAATGAAATCCAAAGTTTATTGCTGCTCTTAAAATGCTATCAATTGGTGTCTGGGCTCAGACTTAATCTGGACAAAGTCACCAAACTTCTATGGCCTAAATTGCGACAGGCTAATGGTGCAGACTTGGGCGCAGTGGATGGGATGTATAGCCGATTATTTCCCTTGTAAACATTTGGGCCTTCCTTGTCCACAGGAGACCAACTCAGGCAGTATGGAATCCACTTATAGAAAGTTTCCAGAATAAACTGGAATCGTGGAAACTGAGGTGCCTCTCTTTTGCTGGCAATATAACACTTTAAAGGCCATCGATCAAACTTTCCTGTTTACTATATGTCTGTGTTAAGAATGCCTAAAGCAATCAGTAGAAAGCCGGAGTCCATTATGAGGCATTTCCTATGAAGTGGATCATCTAAAGGAAGGAAGTTCCACCACGTTGAATGGGAAGAGGTCACTCTTCCTTAGGAGGCAGGGGGCGTAGGGGTTAGGAGGCTTGCTTTGATGAATGATGAGCTGCAGGCAATGTGGTGGTGGAGAATGGGTCAGGAAACATAGCAACAATGGAAAGACCTAGTCAAGACGAAGTATGGAGTTGAAGATGGTGCAAGAACTAGTTTCTGGAACTCCAAGTGGGAAGAGGAAGGAAGTTCCACCACGTTGAATGGGAAGAGGTCACTCTTCCTTAGGAGGCAGGGGGTGTAGGGGTTAGGAGGCTTGCTTTGATGAATGATGAGCTGCAGGCAATGTGGTGGTGGAGAATGGGTCAGGAAACATAGCAACAATGGAAATACATAGTCAAGGCGAAGTATGGAGTGGAAGATGGGTAGAGGATGGTGAAGAAATTGAAATAGCATGCCCCTGCTCACATATGGCGCGCCATTGACAATGTAGATATTTGTTTTGAAGTTACAGCACAGTTTTGGTTGACGATGGTGCAAGAACTAGTTTCTGGAACTCCAAGTGGCTGGAAAATGTGCCCTTATGTCTTAATACCCAGAGCTCTATGAGAGGGTAGCAGCAAAACCCTTCACAGTGAGGGACTTAATTACAGGAAGTGCACTGAATTGGGTGTGGTAAGAGCCGCTACGTTATTGAAGGGTCAACGAGATTCTGGGTAATCAGTATATAAACTTACTGGATGCTTTGAACACAGTCTTATATTGTCCCAATGAGACAGATGAGATCATTTGCGACCTGAACTCTTTGGGCTATGTCACAGTTAGATCTTTATATTCTAAAGTGTGTCAAGATAGATTCTTGCACCTTGTCCTAGTATTCAGAAGGTTTGGAGGTTGAAAATCTCACACAGAGTGCAGGCATTTGTGTGGCTAGTGACGAAAAAGAGAACTTCATCGCAGGAACAATTACAGAAGAGAGGAGTCACAGCGGTCAACTAATATCTGCTATGCAAATCTAATGTTGGAACTAACGATCATCGCTTTTTGCATTGTCCTTTCACTTTCATTATCTGGTGCAAGATCTTGCAGAAGATTGGCATTAACAGGGTAATCCCATTGTCTGTGACCCATTTCTGGATCCAGTGGGCCTTCCCCACTTTCACCAAGGAAGGCATTCGGTTATGGGGTATAATAATGGCAGCAAGACTGTGGCAGGTGTTGGAAGGAGCAGAATAATAGGGTATTCAAGGGCACCAGCTGCATCTATAGACCAGGTTTTGGAGGCCCTCTCCACTCCCATAATCCATTGGGTGCAAGAATGGGAAGATTTCAGGGGTATGTCAGTGGAAGACTTTCTCACAAATTTAAAATCCTTGCTGTTCTCAAGGCAACACCGCATTGGAAGGGGGAGTTAGTGGAACAAACCTGAGATGGAGTGGGTAAAGTTGAATTTTGATGGTAGCTCAAGAGTGGGGGTGTTTCATCAGGGTGTGGAGGTAACTTGAGGGATCAACTTGCAGTGGTTATTTTACTATACTTGGTACTATCCATTCTTGTGGGGCAATGGAAGCAGAATTCTGGGTGTAGATTGCCTGCAAGAAGAACAAAGAAAGGATGTCACTGAGAGTGATTCTCTGAATGTTATAAATTGGTGCCTTAACCCTCGAAAGACCTGGAGGAGCTTGCGACAGATCATGCTTCAAATCTGGCAGAAGTTGGCACCTAAGGAGGTTTGAATCGAGCATATCCATAGAGAGAAGAACACTATGGTGGATGAACTTGCCAAAGCTACTTCGGCTTTATAAGACTTACTTGTTTTACTAGTTGTATTTCAGCTTGTCTTTCTTTTCTTTTCTTCTGTTTGTAGTACACCTTACTCGATATACACCTTATCTTAGTAATGAACTTCGTTAACATTAAAAAAAAAGACTAAATGATAAGCCATGTATTAAAAAAAATGCTTAGCCACATATCAATGTAGCCCCATAAAAAGGAATATGATGCCAGATCAATTGCTAAAATTAGAAATTTACCTGTAAAGTATGTGCGGTAACTCTAGCTCGACCAGAACTTCTCGAACAATTTTACAGAAGGGGGAAGGCTGCAAGAGTAGACAACATGGTTTCCATATGATATATCACTTGAAGAAATGGATATAGAATACATAATCATCGGGACAAATATTGGAACAAGTAATAACTCAAAGAAAAAGAATGAAACAGATCCATCACTTATCCTGATTGGCTTTCCTATTTGGTTCTTTCAAATTAAAACTTGGACATAAAACTACAAGAATTTTAATCTAAAATCTAGAATCACAAAAGTCATTCAATCACTCCATCCAAATCCATCTACGGGAAAATGATGCGGACAGCCTTCTCGCAAATTTATTGGCCATATAGACACTCAGGTTCAGCCAAACCCCACGGAGCCCCTCTCATGGAAGTTTAAGTGCCTAAAACCCCCATCTCCTCCTTTTTGGTACACAAAAGTTGCCATTTTAACTCTATTCAATCAAGAAAATCAATTTGGCCCAAACTAAAAACCTTCTCTGTGCCTGTTTTCTGTCCCTTTCTTCACTCTCTCTCTCTATCGCACCATGGCTCATTCTCTCTTATTGTGGCTTTTCCTCTGTTGAACTTCAATAAGGTCAGCAGTATGAAGATTTGTCCATACTACCTTATTGCCGTTCTTTTATGTTGATGTGATTTATTTTCTTCCCTGCTCTCCAAATAAATGAATTTTCAGAAAATATAAAACATTGATGGAGTGCCCATTTCACGACATTGAATCAAGATCCGTGTCTTTGAAGCCCTTTGTTGCATCTCCTTCTCTTAGAAACTCTTTCGATCAAGACTTATTTCTTCTGTTTTTTGCTGACTATGGTGGTTTTTAATTTTAAGGTATAGAATTAGAAAATTTTGACTTTTACCTTTCCTATCTTTTTGGACTAAAACTTGGGGGGTTTCACATATAGACCGGTTATAATTACCAAAACATTCCTTTGGTCCATAAGTTCCAATATTTAACCACAAGGCCCTACTCCTCCGCTGTTTTTTGATTTTTTTTTAATTTTTCCCCCTGTTCAATGTTTCTAACATTGGACAAATGTTTTTCTTTTTTGTTTTTTTTTGACATTCATGGGTCAGTCCTATGTTTAATACATCAACATTTGTGGGGCACTCAGATAACGGGAACATTAGACCGCCTTACATCTTTGGCCCACTATTGTCTACCGGCCAGTCCTTTACAAACATCAGACTTCCCTTTTTCATTATCTTTTTTATGTTTGAGCGTTTGAAAACTATAAAAAAGCTCAGATGGCTAAAAATGTAATAATATTTTTCCCTTTTTTTCAACAAGCTCAGACCGCTAAAATAGAAAACCAACTATGACAAAGGGTTGTCTGATGTTTGTAACAATGGACCTTCCTATAGATACTACTGAGTAAAAAATGTATAGCGGTCCAATGTTCCCATTATTGGGCCACCCTACAAATGGGTTGGTCCGAAATATTAAACATTGGACCGCTCCACAAATTTCAAAATACATAAATAATTAAAAAAAAAAAACAGTTCCATGTTAGAAAAATCAAAACGGTGACAAAGTTGGGAAAAAAAAAAAAAATGAGTAGGACCTTGTAAACTATAAGAACTTATGGACCAAGGATGATTTCAATAATTTTACCCAATTCGTAAGGAAAAAATGTAAAACTTATGATTTGAGAAACTGTTTTGTCCAATCTAGCCTATCGATTTTCCTGCAACATTCCAATTAAATTCTTGTTGATTGGTGCATGGTGTGGGTTACCTGCCCTTCAAATCAGCTCAGAATTATTTTCCACAAGGTTTGTTTCTTCAAAACCTTTTGAAAGGACTGTGAAATTCATTTTTTGGATTAGCACACTTATGATTTTGAGGTGTCATTATTTGATATATCATTTAAGAGAGTTTCAAAAAGATGTAACAATGGAAAAAAACTACAATAAGGGGGACAGAGAGGAGAGGACGAGCTAAGAGATAGGTTTTATATTTAATCTGAACCAATGTTAGAAGAAGCAGCTCAATGTAGGAACTCAGGCCTTGACTAGTCCAAGTTACTCAAGCAAGTCCTAGTGGACTCGCTCGAGTTTGTCCTCAGTCAAACGAGAAGCCTGGAAGAAGTTTGAGAAAAATGTGGAATAGCTGAAGAAATATAAATATATATATATATAAACAATGTGTATAGAATTTACGAATATAAAGAGAACCAATAAAACATATATAAAACCAGACATATGAATTTAAATTGAAAAAATGAAGTAAATAAAAAAATTGAGGTCAAAATCCTCCAATGTTGCGCTCGGTGCGAATCAATGCCTCCAATCCTCGTCAAAGCTTCCCTCGACACCCATATCAAAACCACCAAACCAGTTTTGGGTTTCAAGTTTGAATCTAGTTGATTCAAGGTCTTGAAATTCCATATGAATAATAAAATCCGAAATAAAAAACTGCAATTATGAATAATAAAATCCAAAGGTTTTAAAAATAGCCAGGCTAAGACAGAGTATATGGAATGCAAGTTTAGTAATAATAGGAATAGAGACGAGGAAGTAATTAAGATTGACAACCAGGAAGTACAAAAAAGGCCGCACTTTCGCTATCTTAGGTCGATAATCTAGGAAATGGAGAGATTGAGGAAGATGTCGCACATAAAATTAAAGCTGGGTGGACGAATTAGAGATGTGCAACTGGAATTTTATGTGATTGTTGCATACCAATGAAGCTGAAGGATAAGTTCTATAGGACAGCTGTGAGACTAGCTTTGCTCTATAGGGCGGAATGTTAGGTAGACAAAAAACAATATATCCATAGAATGAGTATAGTGGAGATGAGGATGTTGAGATGGATCTGTGGCAAGACAAGAAGGGATAGAATTCGAAATGAATCCATTCGGGAGAATTTAGGTATGGCACTAATAGGCAATAGGATGAGAGAGTAGACTTAGATGGGCTGGTCATATGTAGCGCCAACCAGTATAGCACCTATTAGGAGGTGCGAGTTAGTTCAAGTGGAAGGACTGAAAAGGGTAGGGGGAGGGCCAAAAGGACGTGATTGGAAGTAGTCCAAAAAGATATAGGGACTTATGGCCTCACTGACGGTATGGCCTTTAATAGAGCAAAAGGTGGAGCAGGATTTGTGTAGCCGACCCCAACGATTGGGAAAAGGCTATAATGATGATGATGATTTTTCTTTTCTGTTTTTGGGTTAAAAACAAGCCTATGGCTCGATGAAGAACCCAAAAATAGGCTTAGGGAACAAATTTTGTTGATGATAACTTTGGTTGGAATCTTCGATCTTTGAAATCCATAAGAGATGATCTTTTTGTTCGAATCCAATCAATCTAGTTGATAGATCATGGAACAAAGAGTCTAAAGCCAAAAATTGGCTCAAATCAGTGCTCCTATCTTTAAGAACAGAGATAGAAGCTAGGCTGAGCAAATTTCCCGCCTAACCACACCCAACCCATCCCCCAAGGGGGTGGGGGAGGGGGGGGGGAGCTTAAATTGGGGGCCTATGGGCTTAGCACCCTGCCGAGCCCAAGGTTTCAACATCAGTGTTTTAACCAAATTGGGTTTTCATGATTGAATAGGGTTAAAGAAAGTAATTTGACATACTAAAGAGGGGTTTTAAGCCAATAAATTTTAATAAATGGGTCCATATGGCCCATAAGTTAATTAGAAGAAGAAGACCACTTGATGTTCTTTTAATTATCTTGTACAGGTCAAGTAAACAAAGCACAATTCTGAGATATTAAATTCATACGATTGCATCAAGTGGAGGAATCTAAGACGAGTAGTAGAAAGTTCACCAACGTAATATGTAAATATAGAGACAAAAGGCAAAGAATGAGCTCAACTCCATAATCTTACATTTGGTCCTAATAAGAGTGTGTACAACAAGATTGACAAACCTCGCATGAGACAAGTGACAAAATCCGATCTTCACTAATTATTTAGATTAGGTAGATCAGGGTTAGGTCGAATTCCGATCCAAAGATGACCTGATCTCACACTGGAGATCCAACCCTTTTTGGATCGTCTTATAGGTCGCATCAAATTCAAAAGATAAATGATGAAAACTCCAAGAAATGAAGGAATAAAATAAGATCTAATAAAATGATAAAATGAGTTTAAAAGTTCAAAAAAGGAGTAAAGTAACAAAACTTACGAGCTTGCTAACCCTTGTGCCCTAGCACCCGGAGTAGAGACCTTGATCAGAACTTAAATTGATAGGAGAAACTCCTTTTGATGACATAAATGACTAACTTCACTCTCTGAATGAAGTGGTTTAAAAAGAGATCTAGGATCTAAAGGGTTCTATGCCTTAGGTGATGAAAAGATGAAGCTTTTCTTCTATGAAATGGGTAGCCATAGCCGCTAGAAACTAAGATTTCTGAGGCTCTCAGTTATGCTTTGTAGAGACTAGGGTTAGGGTTTGGTTGGAGTGAGGGACTAAGGTTTTTTGAGAATGTGCGACTCTCTCTCTTTTGGGGTTTGAAATGAGGGTTTTCATAGAAAAAGGTGACCTAGAAATACATGAGGTTGTCTGTGCCAATCAAAGGCCGACAGTTGTTCGCACTGCACATTGCGGTGCAGCTCCGATATATGGCGCTCCACAAGTCCCAGACGCAACACGCAACCAACTCGGGTTGGTGTAGATTTACTTGGGAATGTGAGTTTGATGATTGGATATTGCTATATTGAATCACAATTCACACGGTTTGGCAGTATCAGCATACTATCCTTCCCTTTCACTCATGTACCTGCCATTTTTTATCTAAGGTCTCCTAAAATGGGTTTCCCATGGGATTTTAAGAAATTTCCTGGGCTTTTGGGCTAGACTATGTGACTATGGTTTAGTATATCCTATAGTATACTAGGCCGATGTGGTCCCTACGGCTTAAAATGACTACTCTAAGGCTCCTACTATGAATTTAAGGGGTCAATTTCTATGCTTTGAGATTTAAAATTTCAAGGGAAATGTAAATCCCAAAAATGGGGTGTCTACAATAGAGGTATAATTCTAAAACTTTTCTTGCTAAACTTTAATTTTTAGTTTGGATAAATAATCAAAAGTGAGTGTAGGATATGCTACATACCAATGCATGTGACAAGCTTTTTCTCCTAATAAACTCCCTGGAAGAGCTAGGATGAAGAATTCTATGCAAGCATGATTTGGCTCACTCTATGCATTGAAGAGAAGCAGCATGTGTGCCTAACAAGCTCAGGATTCAGGCACTGGCTTGATTGGCTATTACATTAATGACAACACTATGTCCTAGGTTCAAATCCACCACCTGACATATCATAAAAATGTGTACCTAATAAGCCCTCTGGTATGAGGAATCTGGAATATCATGCAAGGCAGGGCCGGCTTTGAATAGTGGTTGGGAACTGTAGGGCAGTAGGGACTTGTTAGAACATCTATAAATACCAAATTCGAAGTTTGCAAACCATGACAAACATTTAAATTACAATTATGTCCTAAATGTCACTTGATTCAGAGAAAACTAGTTGGTCTAGCAAGTAAATGGGTAGCCAAATTAGCAAACTAAGAAATAAAAAGAAACAATTACTTCACAACCTATATCCTACTCTTCTATATCCCCAAGCCTAATTTTAAACCAGATGTCATATTATCATCTCTTTGCTCAAAATTTTTGTACCTGCACTCTTTCATCACACTTAACTTTGTAGATGATGCAAGACTTTCTCCAATCATTTCATATCCGATTCCCTACAACAAATCATCACATCTTTCCATACGTTCCACTCCTTTACATAAACTTAAGTGTAATTTCATGGATGAAGGGATCTATATTACAAGGTCATAGACAATCATCTCAAAAGTAATTTAGGGATTAATGCTACTTGAATACCACAAACAGAAGTTCAATCAAATAGTCTGAATTCTTTTATATGTCAAAGCACATACCACTGAAAACTCCACCACCTAAGTTGCATTTCAATCACATAAATAAATAAATTACAAATGGAAACGAACGTCCTATCTAACCTCGTAAGCCCATAACTCAAGTGGTCTCACGGGATCCCTTGAAGGAGTATATGAAGAACCCTGCAGCAAAGAAGTGTAACATTCATTAAGACAGATAAAGATAAATGGAATGGCGATAAAGATGAATGACAACAAAAGATCATAGAGCCGCTAGCAAAGAATCAATAAAAGTTGAACTTTTGCCAGCAAATGCATGATTACAGTTATTTATTTAGTCTACAACATATCTTTGATAATAATATTGGATGAAAATGTAATGCACCATTAGCCACAAGGGTAACCTCTAGAAATAATAAACACCAAGGACATGATAAAAAATATTTTTCTAAGATTTTCAAAAAGTAGGTCTCAAATCTTTGCATGATCCCAGATTTCTGTGCCTCAATTCAAAGGTGTTCACTTGTAAATGTCAAAAAATATGTTTTCAAGATTTTTAACATGCCAAATTAAAATCAAATTCTTCATGAACACACATGAAAGAACAGCAAATTGGACAAGCAATGTTCTCCTAATAAGGGTTAGAGCAAATGAACATACTGGTATGTTGCCTTATTAGCTAAGCCTATTGTATCCCTTCGCTCATCAAATTCAAATGAACAATGCAGGAGGAAGGACCACTATTAGCTGCCTGAGTCCCCTGATAGCTTGATAGTCAAATAAAAAGTAAGAGAGTTTGTTGTCTTACGTGTGATATAAAGTAAACCATTCCATCCCAACAGTAATAAGAATTAACAATTTAACAGCATCCAAAGACCAAAAATACTTCACAATCATAAGTGCACGACCACAACCTCACAGCCACAACCTAAACAATAACTTTCAAATTCTAATGACCAAAAGTTCATAACATCTAAAATATAAAAGATAATAAATACACTCAAGCTCAATACATCAGTGTCCCAATTCTCAACTCCAATGTCTTAATCAGATTAGTCTCACCTCCAAAATAACTCTCGAGTCCTAACTCCCAAATCAAAAGAAATTTTGATTCTAGGATTTTGAATGTCACCATAAAACATTCAAAATGAAGCCCAAACAATATCAAACAGTCCACCAAAGATTAAAAAATAAACCCCAATATTTATAAGAACTTTGGAAGCATAAATTTTTTTTGTTTCTATTTTATTTTTAATTTTTTTATGTCAATCCCCTAAGAACCATGGAAGTATGGTTCTAGAGGTTTTGGTGGGGGTTATATACCCCTCCAAAGCCTTTTTCCTTTGTAGGGGAAATTACAATATTACCCCTACTACTAAACAAAATTTCCTCCCCAGAGCAGGGGCAGATCGCCCCTGATGCTATTCAGCTGCATATGTGTCCACATTGCAAATTCCCGCATTTTCAGGTGAGGGCTATGCGCCTAGGGCCACATAATGAATTATGCAGCTATATTTGATAACAGTGTAGGAGAGTTGCATGGGGTAGCCTTATTTCTTTAATTTTGACTGATGAAATGCGGACAAGATATGCTTAAAGGACTTAAGGTTTGCAGAATCTACTTTATAGTCTCTTTATCTGAAGCTTAATATAGTCACAAGAGCCCCAGATGCCACCATTGCAGAATCCTCTGAAGTTATTAGTGGCCAGATAGTTTGACCACCCATTTTCAGGAGAGACCTCTTGGATTTGGAGACTCGGGACTTCTTTCATGCACCTCCTAACCTCTAATACTTCCCAAGAATGAGTAAACATAGACTGATCTGGTCGCCAACCTCCTCATGGACCTTTTCAGTAGCTTCTCTCTACCGGCTTTTAACTCCAGGCAAACCAAAGCCAACTATTTTAGCTATAGCCTCAAAAGCATGGTTTAGACTGGTTCCCCAAAAACTCTAGGCTTTTCATTGTCTTGTCCTATCTAGAAAGCCCTAATGCTCGATCAATCACAGCGTGAAGGCCTCCATCCTCTGCCCTTCTCATGGGCCTTTTCAGTAGCTTATCTCTACCGGGTTTTAACTCCAAGCAAACCAAAGCCAACTATTTTAGCCATAGCCTCAAAAGCAGGGTTTAGACTGGTCCCCCTAAAACTCTAGGCATTTCATTGTCTTGTCCTATCTAGAAGACCCTCATGCTCGATAAAACACAGCGTGAAGGCCTCCATCCTCTGCCCTTTCTCAAGCCAATATTTAGGCCTCAACCCTTTGTCGAATCCTTTGGGTTTGGGCATTCAATAAACAGTCCAACAACAGCTCACAGGGCTTTCCAACCCACTATTTCCTTTGACAGGCCTATTCCTCTAAAGCAACGCTATTGGCCACAATTTGGGTGATCTGGCTGGAGTGCAATGCCAGAACATTTGAAAGTCAGAGTCTCAGGAAAAGATGATGAAGGATCGCATATCTATTGGCTTCTAAATCTTCCCCATGCCCTTGGAGAATTGAAACCAATTTTTATTGAATTTTTGAGATCGAAAGAGCCTCAACAGTCTCCTTCAATTGAAGAGATATCAATGTTACAGCTGATGCACTAGCCACAGACGGCATAGTAGCTCAAACTTTTGTTACATTTCTAAACCTATCATGGCCGTTTGAGGCACAGATTTTTGTATGTTTTATGTTATTTGTACAAAAACCCTCCAATGTTCTGTGGCACAGATCCATGTACTCTCTCTGTACAAACCACACTAACTTTTATAGGGACATAGACATGTTACCTTTTTATTTTAATACTATACAGTAAATGTCACTCCAACTACAAAAGTCCTCTTGCATTTTTCCTTCTCCTTGAGCACCATTTTTAGTTCCGTAAAAACAACTAAATTTGTCATTCATTTCAATACAACTAAGATTAGTTTTCATTCCATCTTTCTCATGACTTAAAAATCTATTCTAGCCCAATCAAGGGCTTCGAATCAGCCAGTTAAAGCATTTCAAAAGGAACAGCTTGCCTTTCAATCCATATTGTTCAGTTAAATGGAAGCTATAGATTTGTTCGGTAAGCTGCCAGATATATATATACATATATATATATATATATATATATGGAAAAAGCTGGGATTAGCCCACTAGCTCATATGAACATATGAGCCCAACAGCCCAGATTGAATCTGGGCCAATCTGACGATCACGGATGTCCGGTAGTGTTTGAATTTTAATTTTTTTTTCTAGAAATCCAAATCACTTCAAATTTTAGGAGTGTGTTCATCAAAAATAGTTGAATCTTTGAAAAATATCAAAATATATTTTACATGAAATAAATTGACCAAAATACCCCTGAAATATTTCGGGGGTATTTTGGTCATTTTGTTTTTTGAGAATAATGTTTTTTATATTTTTATTAGGTACGCCTTGATGAGATGAACACACGCCTAAAATTTCAAGAGATTTGTATTTGTAGAAAAAAATTAAAATTCAAATACGAAATAAGGTCGTGACCATCAGATCGGCCCAGATTCAATCTAGGCCGTTGGGCTCATATGTTCATATGAGCTAGTGGGCTAATCTCAGCTTTTTCCTATATATATAAGAAAACTTTACAAAACACTTATAGGTGAAGTTCTACAGTACTTCACCTACAGCTTTATCACCATCCAAAGTTCATCTCACGGCCACAGATGTTTGATAGTATTTGAATTTAAATTTATCTTACAAATCATAATGGTCTGAAATTTTGTAGGTGTGTGCCTCTTAGTGAAGCACAGCTGAATAAAATATAAAACAAATAATTTGGAGGATAAAAATGACCTAAAATATCCCTATGAAGTTTCAGGGGTATTTGTGTCATTTTATTTTATGACTTAGTTTTTTAATATTTTATTTTGGTGTGACTTTGTCATATGTACACACGCCCTAAATTTTAGATAAATCTGATTTGTAAAATAATTATTAAAATTCAAATACTACCAGACAACTATAACTGTGTGATGAACTTTGGACGGTGATAAAGATGTAGGTGAGGTACTGTAGAACTTCACCTATAGGTGAAGTTCTACAGTACCATCACCTACACCTTGTCACTGTCCAAAATTCTTACACTTTGCGACAGCTGTTTGATAGTATTTGAATTTTAATTTTTTTTACAAATCATAATGATCTGAAATTTTGTAGATGTGTGCCTCTTAGTAAGGCACAACTGAATAAAATATAAAACAAATAATTTGGAAGATAAAAATGACGTAAAATCCACCTATGAAGTTTCAGGGGTATTTGTGTCATTTAATTTTATGACTTATTTTTTTAATATTTTATTTTGGTGTGACTTTGTCATATGTGCACATGCCCTAAATTTTAGATAAATCTGATTTGTAAAATAATTATTAAAATTCAAATACTACAAGACAATTGTGACTGTGTGATGAATTTTGGACGGTGACAAGGTGTAAGTGAAGTATAGTAGAACTTCACCTATAGGTGTTTGGTAGTGTTTTCCATATATATATATTATATATATATCTGGCAGCTTACCGAACAAATCTATAGGTTCCATTTAACTGAACAATATGGATTGAAAGGCAAGCTGTTCCTTTTGAAATGCTTTAACTAGTCGTGGGAGGCAAGGCACACAGGGGATAGG